AGTTACATTCTTTCAGAAATGTATGACCGCAGATATGGAGACAGCAAGCTCAGTGCAGAGCATCACTGGGCACTGTGTCCACATGAGGGGGCTGCCTATAAAATTTATACTTGAAATATAAATAAAATAAAAATTCTAAACACATCAAAAAAAAGCTAATACGATTATTAGACTTCAAACATAATTCTTAGCCAAGTTAAATATATGTACAGGTTTTAACAGAATGCCTGACACATGGTAGGTAAGAAATATCAGAAATAAGTACTGTAGCAATAAAAATTAATGATTTTAATTCTCTTTTAGGATTTTGATTTATAAATTCCTAATATTGTCCAATTTAGGGCCACAGAAAGGAAAAAAGTGAGTGTACCTGACCTGTGCATTTCCACCTGAAAATCAATTTATATATCCCTCAATGTGCCTGAATTTAGTTTGTTAAGAATAAAACTTGTCAAGACTTAAAAAAAAAATGAAGTATACATCTTTGTAAATTAACACATTGTAAGTCTAGTTTCTTAAAAAGGTTCTATTAAATTTTGTAATGTGTTAACAAATTTTTATTTTTGAATTTTTAAAAATTTCTTCTGACAGTTAATTTTGTTCATTTCCTCTAACAATATAGTTTTTATTTCTTCCATCATAAACAAGTGTCCCCAAAAGGTCCCCATGCCATTGTCCATGCCCAGCCTCATCCAGCCCCAGTCACAGCATGTACATGTCTATAGACACAAGGAGACCTTAGAATGGAAGTCCCAGGACCATATGTGTGGACCCAGCATCACAGAGTATTGCATCACCAGTGCACCACCACTGCCGGCCCAGTTTCTTCTGACAATTTTTTATTATCAGCACAAGTCTACCTTTGTCACTTTTGGCATAAGACACTATTACTATCATCATCTTATGTGTACAGTTTCCAAAAATCAGAAATTCTTTCCATAGGCAACCTGTGGGGAAAATACAGTGTGTTCTTTGATCTGATTACCTTATGGCATTCATAAGACATCTTTGACATTTGGAAGACTCTTGCTCATTGGGTAAGAATTGTGGGACATAAGAAAAAATATAATCTAATGATTGCATTGACATAATTACTTTTTAGGAAGCTGAAGAAATGCACATCAAAGCAATTCAGATTAAAGAACAACTTCTTGGTCAAGAAGATTATGAAGTAGCCCTTTCAGTCGGACATCTGGCTTCTTTATATAATTATGACATGAATCAGTATGAAAATGCTGAGAAACTTTATTTGCGATCTATAGCAATTGGTATGTTACCTTTAAATTTTCTTTAGTTAGTTGATTATAGAGATCAGCCTGTCAACATGTTTTTTATTTTAAACATATTCAGTATTTTTTATGTGAAATGCCTCAGATCAAAAGTGGTTTTGATTCTTTTTTTCTTCAGATTTTAAAATATTTACATATGCATTATGAGATATCCTAGGGATGGGGCCCATGCTAACATAAAATTTTTTTTTTTTTTTTTAAGAATTATTTAACTTCATTTATTATTATTAATTTGACCAGAGAGAGACACACAAACGGAAAAAGGGAAAGTGAGAAAGCAAGCCTTCAGGTCCGAGACTTGAACCGTGGTTGGCCATGTGGGCATCCAGCGCCCTTAACCACCATACCACCTGCTGCCCCCCACCCCATTTTAAACTTTGTAGTTTAAATAAAACTATCTAGACTTTAAAATGTGGATGGAGTTTATAAGCAAAAGCATCCTGTTGGAGATACTTTGATGTTTGCCTTTGGTGACTTTGCCACTTTTCCTTCCTTTCTTTAATAGCCATGTAGTGAATGTTACCTATCAATAGATGTCCATGTCTTACCAGTGTCATGGACATCTGGTATCTATCTGTTTGTGCAGAGATAATGTTTTTGTTCAAGCCCTAAAGGTTTTATTGAAGATCAGTCTGGGTAGAGTAGGGTCTTAACTTCTGCCTTTTCTGACCTCTTTGACTTCACCTGCCCAGGCTGTGTGGCAGCCTGCCTTACTGCCAGCACTCTGCATCCTCAGAGGCCTGAATGAGGGCACTTGGGAATGCCAGAGGTACAGGAGATGTAGGCACAGGTTGCAAAGACTAGGAGGCAGCTTAAAGGAATCTAGAGAGACAGCAACTGGGCCCCTGTTGTGGCCTTATTCACAGGGTCTTCCATCCTATCAGCTCACTGTGCTCTGAGTGCCACACAGCAGTGCACCATAGGGAAGCAGACAAGGATTGCTGGGGACCCAGAAGTTATGAAACTGCTTACTGGTGGGGGCTGGGATGAGTATCTGACCTCAGATTTCACAGTTGGGATCTCCAGGAGTGCATTTACCTCCTGTAGGTCTATACTCAGTTTTGGGAAGAAGGGGCCTCTCTGAACCTGGGCTGGGACATGTGGGGGAATGTGGTAGATGACCTGAAATCCCATGGTGACCCTGAAATCTTTGACCAGCAACAGTGCTACCTCACTTAGAAGAAATACAGTGCCAAGACCTCACCTGAGGTAGGTGATTTCTGAAGTGGTGGTTGCCCAGTTTGGGTCTGCCCCATGCCCTAAGCTGTTTGCACAATAGGTTGCTGAATTACAGCCCTTGCTAAGTCCAGCTTGTCACCAGTATTTGTATGGCTCTGGAGCAGAGTAGTTCTAACTGCATGGATTTCTAACCAATTTGATGACACTTGCCGTACTATCTCCCCCAAAGACAGACTGACTGACTGACTTATTTATTTATTTAGGAAAGGTTTTTTTTGCCATAGGGTGCATGCACTTGCCAGAAAGACAGAGAAAGAGGAAAACTGAGAAATCACACCCAGGGGGGATGGCCCTGCCATAATCCCTTCTCCTCCATTTTCCTCTCAGGATCTTGGGCACGCACACACACACACACGTGTCTGGCATGAGTTTAAGCTGCCAGGTCCAGGACTCGAACCGCGGTTGACTACATGGGCGTCCAGCGACATAGACACTATGCCAGTTGCTGGTCCCAAAAATCTATAATTTTTGCTTTTTGGCAGCAAAACCCTGAAAGGAGGCTCATGGGTGGGCCTGGCCAAATTTAAGACTGTGTGTGCACTTTGCCAGCCTGGGAGAGCCCCATGGGCCTGTCTCTTACCTCAGTCTCTTATGCACAGAGGGGGAAATAGAGTCCCCATCTCAGTTTGCTAGGAGCATTGTGTGTGTCAGAAAGCTGCATATGGCCACCTGTCCCCTGGGCAGCTACCTTCAGATGTCATTTCTTGTCTCAAATAGTGGGCTGACACCAGCATCCTCCCATGTCTTGGGAGGACAGAGGGAGTCTGTACCTGCTGCCTAGGATAGAAAGTGCTTTTGGAGCCACCTTCTGCCAGTTCTGCCTTCCTTTGGCTAGCGCCTTTCTGTGGCTGTGCTGGGAATAATTGCCTTCGGAGTACCCCCCTCGTACCCCCTTGAATTCTGAACTCACAGGGAGAACTATTCTCCCTGTAGTACCTGCTGCATCCTGTGGATCTCATCACCTTATTTCAGTCACTCTGACTCCCATCAGGTCTCCAAGAAGCAGGAAGGCCACTGTCCTGTCACTTGCATGCTACCAGGGTTCTTTGTGTAGCTTCCTCTTACCCTTCACCTCTGAGGACCGGGCTGCGATGTCCTCACTGGCCTCAACCTCAGCATCCCATTGCTGTCCACATACTGGCCATTGCAGGTGCATCACCCTCTAGCTTAAAGAGCTGGTGCCTCCCAGGTCTCAGGGACCAGCAGGAGGAGCTGTATCTGATGCTGGCCACCAGGGCATCTGAGGACAGTGCTGGGCCTCCGTCAGGGCCCGAGTTCCATCAAGCACAACCTTGGAACCCTCCCCTCACCCCTTCTAAGACCTGAGCAGATAGACAAACCTCAATTTCCACTTCAGTGCCCCCCATGCTGGTTTCTGACCCAGCCTGAGTCCAGTAACTTGAACCCAGGAAACTCATTCTTGTGGAGGGGTGGCCCCCTGAGTTGCAGTGGGAGCAATGCAGCCTGAGGAACAGCAGACTTGAAGCAGTGCCCAGATGGGATGGCTACCCCGTCAGCCCAGATGCTGGCCTCAGATTGGAATCCTCTTCTTGACAGAGACAAGACATCTGTAACTTCCATCAGGGTGGCAGGAAAGCCAGGCAGAGATAGGAGGCATGGCCACCCTCATACCCTGTGATGCCAGGCCAGTGCCATACCAATTTGGCCTTGTCGGTATAGCATGGGCATGCCAGAACTCAGGTTCCCAAGATGGGCCTAAATGCACTGTGTAGGCTTCTTGGGTGCAGCTCTTCGGGTTTCTCACAATATTGCCTAGAAGGGCTCCCATGCGTAGGTCCGGGGGCTTTAGGGTTTTACTGGAATGGGTCAATGAAGCTACTGCTGGAAACTCAGCAGAGGGGGAGCCTCTGGGGTCACCCTAGGGCAAGGGTCCACAACCCCTGAGGTATCCATCTGTGACCTGTTAAGAACCTGGCTGCACAGACAGTGAGCAGCGGGTGTGAGAACAAAGCTTCCTGTCGCATTATTACAGTCTGAGTTCTGCCTCCTTCCATCAAATGTGGCACTAGATTCTTATAGCTTGAACCCCATTGTTAACTGTATATGTGAGGATCCAGGTTGCATGCTGCTGTATTAAGCAATCCTGCACCCCATCTGTGAAAAAATTATCTTCCATGAGACCGGACCCTGATCCCAATAAGTCGGGGACATGGCCCTAAGGGACACAACATCTTGGGTTTCTGGTCTCCAGGACTTCCACAGTCTCTAGGCATGTGTGGGAATTGTGAGGTAATCTCAAACAGCCATTGTCATGTCTCAGTGAGGTTGGGATCACAGTGGTGCTGTGGAGTGGCACCATGGGACAAGGGGGCTTTCTGGGAACTAGCTTCCAGGCATAGGAGCAGCAGGAAACCACAGGGCCTCCCTGCCCTTCCCCGCCAGAGGCTCACAAGACCACCAGAGTGAGCTGTCTGACTTTTAATTTCTACATCAGCCTTAGCTTCCTGATCAGGAGGGATCAGGGCCACCCAGCCTTGGGAATAGAGACGGTCCCAGAAGGTAAGGTCCCAGTGGAGAGGCAGCAGTGGGCGTGTGCTCCTGGGCGATGTTCTCGTGCTCAGGAGGAGCTGGCAGAGCCTGCAGAGAGGAGGCAGGTCCTCAGTCATGGTCCCTACACAGTCCCCGCCCTCAGCCCCATAGGCTCCTCTCACCTGGAGCAATGAATGGGGTGGCTTTCTCAGCTAAGGGACTGGAGAAAGGAATCAGATGAGTGTCATCTGCCCTCAACTCCTGGTGCTCCTCCCCACCCCCCAGGACAGCTCACTGCTGTTCCAAGGGCACTTGAGGGGCCCTCAGGGCTGATAACCTGAGGACAACAGATCCCTCTGCAAAGCCAGGGGGCAGCCAGGACACTGTCCTTGTGCAAGTCCTTCACCGCCCACCCCAGGTCTGCTCAGCTGGAGAATCTCACAGGAGGGCCTGTCCTACCTGTGCACCTGGTCATGCCTGCACTTGCATTTGCCACCTGCAGAAGAAGAAATGGGTGACCCCCAGCCCGAGCATCCATTCCCTCCTTCCCGCCCAGCCAGCCCACCACTCACTCAGGGCTATAGCAATCCCAGTGATGCCCAGGATCCCTGCGCAGATCATCCCGGCCAGCTGCAGGCTCTCCCAATCTGTGGGTGGGGGCAGCGTGAGCTCAGCCAGTCTGGGGCCATTTCACTCGTGTCCAGGAATTATGAGGGGCTTCAAAAAGTTTGAGAAATGTGCATAGTACAAAAAACTATGCCTGGATTTCTAAAAATGTTTGCCCCAAAATAAACTCATAGTTCAATTCCATTTTCTAAGAACTTCTTAATGTGCTTGGGAGCACCTAGTTGTGCTAGATGCTGCCCCATAGATACACAGGGCTTCTGATCCAGGCCATGAGAGAGAGAGACACCAGTAAATGGCACATCATAGAGTATGTGGGGGGACCAGATACTTAATGAAGAAGAAAGGCAGGCGAGCAGAGAAAGGGGGCTTTGAAGAAAGCTCGGGGAGCTTTCCTGAAAGGTGGCAGTGGAACTGAGGCCCAGAGGAGACCTGGGACTGCAGAGGACCAGAAAGCCTGTGGGACTGGGTCCTGGAGAAGCAGAGGAGAGGAGGAGGAGGGGGATTCGGTGGGAGATGCCGGCCTGCAGCCCAGGCCTCCTGTCCCCTCTGTCAGCCTCCCTGCAGGTCCCACAGATACTCTCCCAAGAAGCAGGTCAATCCCCACTCCACTTTGTCTACACTTCCCAGCTTGTCTGGCAGAGGTCCAAGACAGGCAAGGGTTGGGGGTGGTGGGAGGCCACAGCTCTTACCATAGTAGAAGGTGCTGTCTTTATCTGCAGGAAAGACATAAGAGAATGAGGCTAGAAGGGTGGGGCTTACAGGGCTACATGGGGTCCCAGGGCAGGCATGGGGGGCCTTACTCACCAAACAGGTCATTGGCTTTCAGGGCAGGCAGACCTAGGGGATGAAGCAGAGGAAGGAGAGGTTGATGCTTTGTCAAGTGCCCAGATGAGTCCAGTGCAAAATCCCAACTCAGAGAAGTTTGGGAGTTGACCCAACCCAGAGAGATTTGAGGCTTCCCCAGCTCCAAAGTCAGGATTTTGCTCCCACTCACCCACAGCCCTTCCTAGTCTTCAGGCTAGTGTCTTTCATTTTTTAACTTTTTTTGACTTTTATTTTTTAAAAGAATTATTTAATTTTTTAAATAATTATTTAATTCCATTTGTCATTATTTTTAATTTGACCAGAGAGAGAGAGAGAGAGAGAGAGAGAAAGGCAAAGTGGGAAAGCAAGCTGCTAGGTCTGGGAATTGAACTGCAGTTAGCCATGTGGTAATCCAGTGTCTTTAACCACCTGCCTGCCCTAAGAACTTTTTAATTTTATTTATTATTATTTCTATTTATTATTTTAAAAAAATTTTGGGGGTGCTGCTGGAGCTTCATCTCAGTGGTGTCTGGGCTGGGGACACAGCCTCCTGGGGTGGGGCCCGCAGCAGGCCAGGCCAAGGTTGATGCTGGCCCAGGATGGATCAGACCTATGAGCTACTTAGAATAAATTTTCTGTTCCCTTTTCCAATTCAGTGAATTTAGAAGCCCCTACAGTCCATTCAGTAGTGGTCAATCCAATTTTTCTGAGCTACTTAATGGGTGTACTATGCAGCTGTCGACTGCCAGTGGAACATCCCAAAGTGCTTCTGGACAGGATTCTCTATCTTGTTCCATTCTGCTGTGGAGACTACAGGATTTGGCCTCCATGATCAATGTAGAGAATTCCAATGGATCTGCTAATGAATGAGAATCCTTTCAAGACCCTGAAAAAAGTGATTCAAGAACTCAGTCGCCAATCGTTTGCACTTCCTTGAGTCCTGGTGGTTCAACGGCACTTCTTATGAAACAAGAACTCTCTTGTAATAACTCCCTTGTACTCCAGGTAAAAGTAACAAAGACCACCAAGAATGACTTTCTGCACTTTGAGAATATTACTTGTGTGGATGATGCAGATGCAGATTCTGAAATGGACTCAAAACAGCCAGTCACAGAGGAGAAGAGAATAGAGATCAGATCTTTGAGGAAACTCAGACCAATGCCACCTCAATTATGAGCCTAAATCAGAGAATGGTGTAGAAGTGGCCATGGGAAATGAACAAGACAGCACACCAGAGAGTAGACACGGTGGAGTCAAGTCACCATTGTTGCCATTAGCTCCTCCAACTGAAACACAGAAAATAAGCAAAGAAATGAAGTGGATGGCAGCAAAGAAAAAACAGCCCTCTCCCAGCCCCCTTTTCACTAGGAGATACAAACATTACCATAGAAGAGCAATTAAACTCAATAAATTTATCTTTTCAGGATGATCCAGTCTCCAGTACCAGAATTACCTGGAACTTCATCATCATCTTCATGGGAATTGTCATTTGTAAGCTGTTTTTGGTACAACTTAAATATATACATAGGTGTACAAATACAGGCCACTTAAAGGGAAACTTGCAACTATTCTATTTTTGATTATCAGTTCACAGCTGAAAGCCTATTGCTAATGTTAAGTTTTTTGGGGGGAGATTTTACTTTGATTTTGAAATTTACCTCTATTGCATGAGTTTGGTTTTTTGCACTGTTACCCAAATAACTCTCTATGGAGGATTGGCTAAGTGTTAAACTTTTAAAGGCATTAGATTGAGTTCAGATGAAATTTTTCTAGGTGGAGGTATACATTTGACTAGCTTAAAAAAAAAAGGTGGGCTTCGGTCTCCCTGATCACTGTAGGTGAGCTAATTTATTACGTAGAGTCCTGTTGCTATATAAGACATGGCTTATAAGAGTTGGTGGGGTGACTCTTTCTGCAGGTCCAAGTGCACTTTGGGCACAGATTGAAAGTGGCTAAAATGAGAAAGCTTTCTTGGACGTCAGCCAGAATTTAAATTACACTGATTTTTTTTTTGGGGGGGGGGAGATTTTTGCTATAGGGTGCATGTGCTTGGCAGACCGACAAAGAGAGACAGACACAGAAAGTGAGAAGTCACTCCCCTAGGGGAGATGGCCACACTGCAATCCCTTCTTCTCCATTCTCTCAGGATTTTGGGCATACATGCACATGTGCCTGGCATGACTTTTAAGCCACCAGGTCTGGGACTCAATCCACAAATGACTACGTGAGAGTCCAGTGATGGAACCACTACGCCATCTGTTGGTCCCTAGGCTAATTTTTTTTGTAAAGAATTATTTATTTGACTTTATTTATTTTAATTTGATCAGAGAGGAGGAGGAGGAGAGAGAGTGAGAAAGCAAGCCTCCAGGTCCAGGACTTGACTGGTGGTCGGCCATGTGGGAGTCCTCTGCCCTTAACTACCATGCCACCTGCCGATCCTCCTAGGCTAACTTCTAAACTACCTGCCATGAAGTGTAGCATCCTATGTTGATAATAGACGCAAAGTAGGCTCCTGAATTTTCTATTATAGTTTTAAAATTTGAAGTGTATATTTGCATTGTGTGTGTATACATAGAAATGGTGAAAAGTAATTTGAATTGCTGTTTTCAGTAGTGTTGTGCAATGTTGTTAGAGGGTGGTAAATGATAAAGCTTCTTTTTTTTTTAGAGAGAGTTTTTTGCTATGGGAAGTGTGCTTTCACTGGTGAGACAGAGAGACAGAAAATGAGAGGTCTCAGAGCAGAGAGGATGGCTGCACTACAGTCCCTTCTCCTCCATTCTTCTCTTGGGATTTTGGGTATGTCTGCACACACGCCCGGTATGAATTTTAAGCTGCCAGGTCTGGGACTTGAACTGCTGTCGACCCCATGGGAGTCCAGTGATAAGACCATCTGCTGGTTGCAATGAAAAATTTTTTTTTTTTTAGGAAGAGATTTTTCTCTGAAGGGCATATGTCTCTCCAGAGAGACAGAGTCAGAGAGACAGAAAGCAAGAAATTACTCCCTGGAGGGATGGCCATGTCACAATCCCTTCCCCTTCAGTATTCTCTTGAGATTTTGGGCATGCATGCACATACACCCAGAGTGAGTTTTACGCCACAGACTCTGAACTTGAACCATGGTCGACTACATTGGGAGTCCAGTGATGTGACCATTATGCCATCTGTTAATCTCAGTAAAGTTTTTTTATTTGAACTGTTGCAGGAGTTTTTGATCTCTAGTTAGCTAAATTGATCAATTCTCATAACGTCAGTTTCATCACCTCTGAAATCTGAAAGTAATTGATTGCTGAAAGAGTTCTTTCAGCTTTAAATATTTGATTCTGATTTTGTTTCTGTCCAAACACATTGTCCTATCATGGTCACTAGTAATGTCACCAAAAGTAGGAGTTCTTTGGGCTCTCTTTTGCAGGGCAGGGGCCAATAAATGCCTTGGAAGTAATATGGCAAGATTCTATAAGAAAAATTTTTATAGTATATAGTGTTTGAGTGCGTTAAACATTAACTTTATCATATATCCTTGTTCTTTAAAGTTAATGAGGGAGATTATGGGTGTGTTGCTTTTGTCTCTGTTGATTCATATCTTAAATATGTTTTAGTACTCCTTGGATTCTTAGTTGGTAAGTTGCAAATTTAAAAAAAATCTGTTTTGGTGGTTGTTTTGAGTTTATTGTCATATATATATGAGGATGGGTAGGATGTTTTGAAAAACCACTAGCAGCTCAGGGAACCAGCAGTTAGCGTAATGGCTATGTCACTGGACTCCCACATAGTCGACCGCGGTTCGCGTCCCGGACCCGGTGGCTTAAAACCCACGCCGGGTGCATGTGCGTGCGTGCCCAAGATCCTGAGAGGAGAATGGAGGAGAAGGGATTGCGGTGTGACCATCCCCCCTGGGGGGTGATTTCTTGCTTTCTGTCTCTCTGTCTCTCTCTGTCTGTCTGGCGAGCGCACGTGCCCTATAATGAAAGGCCTCTAAAAAAAAAAAAAAAAGAATGGAAAAAAAGAAAAAAACACTAGCAGCTCAGATAAATCCTTTACTTGGCTGTTGAAATTTATTTTATATATATATATATATATAAAATACAGTTTTGTCTTTGTTTTTCACATAAATTTAGATCTGATGGTGAAGATACATGGTTCTCTAGAAGCATACAAATAGACATGTAAACCTGTATCTCATTGAAGTGTTGTTAGGGAGCATTGATTCTATTAAAAACAATAGAAAATATTGGAGCCTGTAGATGGTATGTTATATGTCTGAAATACGAGTCAGCACACTTGAATAAATAGAGAAGTTTTTTGTCAGGCCAAAAACCTAAATTGCTCAAAGATTTTATAAGCTTAAAGACATAATCTAATTTGCTTATTTATTATTTTTAAAATTATTTAACTTTATTTGCTCACCATTTTACTTTGACTAGAGAGAGAGAGACACAGAGAGAGGAGAGGAAAAGTGAGAAAGCAAGCCACCAGGTCTGAGACTCGAACCATGGTTGGCCATGTGGGAGTGTTCAGCGCCTTAACCACCATGCCACCTGCTGGTCCCCTAATTTTCTTTTTTAGGTCTTTGGTTCAAGATTGTGGTTGAAATTGATTGCTTTTGTTTTTGTCTCATATTTTTGTTTAAGAATTATTTTATTTAACTTTATTTATTTATTTAGTTATTTAATTTATTTATTTATTTATTTATTTTTGGAGAAGTTTTTGCTATAGGGTGCGTGCGCTCGCCAGAAAGAGACAGAGAGACAGATCAACTATATGATGGGGTCCAGCGACATAGTCATTATGCCAACTGCTGGTCCCATATATTTATTTATTTATTTTAATTTGATCAGAGAGGAACAGAGCAAGAGAACGAAAAAGTGAGAAAGCAAGATGCCAGGTCCGGGAATTGAACCATGTGGGATTCCATGTGGGTGCCCTTAACCACCACATCACCTGCTGGTACCCTGTCTCAGATATTTTTTAACTGAGAACTTAAAAAGTTAAGTCAATCTCAAAATGCAAATTCAAGTAAATAATGTATAGATTGGGTAAAGTATAATTAAGCACATGTGCCTGGCATGATTTTCAGGCCACCAGTCTAAGATTTGCTGGAGTCGCTCTTTCAGCTATGTTGCATCTAGCCATCCTAACCTCCACACCACCTGCTGGCCGGGAATGCTTTCCTTTTCCTGTTACAAAAGGTTATAGTTTCCCACAGTTCAGTGATTTGGGAACCACACAGTTGATACAATGCCACATTGTACCCACCTGTCATTTCCTTAGAGTGTTTCTGTGAATTGACATTTAAATGCAAACACATCAACTGCACCTAGGTACCTTAAAAGGTGCTGCCTGCAGATACACTATGGAATACTAGTCAGCCATACAAAACAATGAGACTGGGGCCAGCAGATGGTATAGTGGTTATGTTGGTGGACTCCCACATGGCTGACTGTGGATTGAGCCCTGGACCTGGTGGTTTGAAACTCACATTGGGCACGTGTGCTTGTATTCCCAAATCCTGAGAGGAGAATGGAGGAGAAAGGAATGGGGTGTGGCCATCCTCCATAGGATATGATTTCTCACTTTCTGTCTGTCTCTCTGGTGAGTGCACTTGCCCTATAGCAAACAAAGTCTCTCTCTCAAACAAACAAACAAAGAAACAATGGGACCCCGGCATCTGATAGAAAGTGGATGAATATGGAAGATATGCTGAGTGAAGCAAGCTAGACTATGAAAGAGAGGCATGTGTGTCCCCACTTAATATATACCAAAGGTTGGGCCAGCAGGTTGTTTAGTGGTTACATTACTGGATTCCCACATGGCTGACCACCATTTAAGTCCCACATTGGTGACTTGAAAATCACGCCAGGTGTGTGTATGTGCATACCTAAGATCCTGGGAGGAGAAAGGAGGAGAAGGGGTTGCAGTGTGGCTATCCCCCCCAGGGTGTGATTTTTTACTTAACCTCCCACTGTCTCTCTCTCTTTCTCTCTCTACAGCGAGCACATGTGTTCTATGGCAAACTCCCACCCCCAAATGTGTTTGTGAATATATACACATACATACACATACACACACACACACAAATGTCTGTACTCTATGGCCAAAACAGAAAAACTGGAAGGTATAAAAACATGCAGAGCAACTGTGGGTACTAGAGACAGTGTGGGAGGAGGGTGGGCAATGGGGGCCTGGAGGGAGGGACTCAAGGGGAGAAAAAGAAGCAAAACATTTAATAGACACAAAAATGGAAAATTATCTGCTGATGTGTATGGTAATGTCTTTGGACTAATATTCAGTATATTCATGCTGGTAAAATTCATTTTGTATGCTGTAAAGATATGCAATGAGTAAATGTAAAACAATAAGAAAATAAAGAAAGGAAAAGGGGAAAAAAAGAAAAGAAGGTGCTGTCTGCTCTTCCCTTTCTTGGAGATGGGTGAAGGGAGGAGGGCCCACCGAGGGGCTGAGGAACTCACCAGCCAGCAGGAGAAGGGCCCTGGTCACTCTCTCCATGACGCAGCTCACAGGGCGACACTACAGGGCAGAGACAGGTGGGCGTCTGCTGTCCACGACCACCTCAGACTCAGCTCACTCAGGCAGCAGGAGGGGCAGGGCTGGAGACAGTCGGGGTGCAGAACCCGGCTGTGATTGTCATGGCCCCGCTGGAAAGTGGGCACTTTGTTTTCTCATTGGGAGAGGACAGTAGTAACTGCCCAGGAGGTCGGCGGAGCGAGCTCTGCTAGTTCAGGCCCAGCAGCTCCTGCTTGCAGTCAGCGCCACAGGAGGCCTGGCCGAAATCTTTAGGAAGCCTCACCCAGGAAGACATCCCGTTATCTCTTTCACTGGAGGACAGCGACGCTCGGAGGCTGCAGTCAGATGCCCCAGGCCAGGCCCTACTCTGCTAAGTCCGGGTGTCATAACCCCACACAAAGAGCGCTGATGTGGTGGTTATCAGGCCCAGGGTGTTGTTCACTGAGGTAGGTCCTGGGCTGGCCGGAGTCTGGCCAGAATCCAGGCTGAATTGCCGAGTGCTCCACACGGGCACTCAGAGCCCAGCACCCAGGGCTGAAGGATGACAGGCTCATAGCCCATAGCAGTGGGAATCCTGGCCCCGGCCTCAGTCATACCCAGGAATGCTGCTCCAGGTGCCCCAGGTCCCACTCTGAGTGTAGGCAAGTACGGGCTGGAAACCCGGGGTAAGCGTCGCTGCTCCTGTACTTGCCCCTGGGCTGGCTGCGCCCTTGGTATCAGACCCTCCCAGCTTCTGCGTCTGGTTGCACACGGCAGGGCAGTGCCCTGAGAGCAGCACCGAGGCCAGTGTGATAGCATTGTGCCAGCTCTGGCTCCTAAGGTCATGAGTCCAGGCACACTTACCAGCCGTGTGTCTCCACAGTCCCTTCACTTGTCTGTTCTTCCGTGTCCTGTGCAGAGGGGATAACCATAATGGAGACCTCACAGGTGACGACAGTGGGGAATTCAATAAACTATTTCTGTTAAGTCTAGGAAGCATGCCTTGCACAGGGTAAGCAGTAAGAGCCTGTTCTGATACCACACACACACGCACGAGTCCTGTACCTAGGAGGGGAAGGGGCGATCCTTCTGGGGTTGTGGGCCATTGGCTTCCCCAGGAGGCCTTCCTTTGTCTCTCCCAACTCTCCCCTCACAGCACCCTGGACCTCTAGGCTTAGGAGGGTCCCAGCTGCATTCCAGATATTTTTTAACCAAAAGTTGTCTTCTGGGACCTGCAGGTGGCATAATGGGTACATTGCTGGATTCCCACATGGTCAACTGTGGTTTGAGTCCCTGATCTGGTGGCTTAAAACTTACATCAGGTGCATGTATTTGTGTGCCCAAAATCCTGAGAGGAGACTGGAGGAGAAGGGAGTGTAGTGTGGCCATCTCCCTAGGGGGGAATTTCTTGCTTTCTGTTTCTCTGTCTCTTGTGAGCACACAGACCCTATAGCAAAAATTTCTCTAAAGAAAAAAAAAGTTGGCCTCTGTTTCCTCCAGTCACCAACTCACTGGTATGTGACACAGGTCACAAAGCAGGAAGCCATGGTCCTTGGGAAGCTACTGCAGGCCTTTCTGCCCTCAGTGCCCCCAAACAGGCCCCCATTATGCAGAATCCTCTGGTACCCCCCCTTCCTCAGAGAGGTCCCTGGGCCACCCCCTTACCCCTAGCAGCCCCAGAATCCTAGCAGATGCCTACTCACTGCTCACCTGGGCACTCACCTGAGCCTGGTGTAGACAGCAGGTCTGAGGAAGGTGTGGGGCTGAGGACCGCCCAGGTTGGTTCCAGCCATTTAAACCCAGTGGCCCCACCCAGGGCAAGAACACCTGAGGGCTGGAGGGAACTGGTCAGACTCCTGGAGCCTCCCGCAGCTCCCCTCCCCACTGTGCTCTTAAGGTGACAGCTCACCTGCCACACCAGGGCCCAGTGGAACTCTGGGTCCCGGGCCTGTTTCTAGCAGAAACCTAGGGGGAGGGATGTGTGGGGCCTCAGGAGAGGCTTTCAGCCTCAGTAGCTCACCTCAATCCTGAAAGGGGCCTGGATAGGCGCTGGAGTGGGCCTAACCCAGGTGTCTCTGGGTTCTGGGACTTCTGTGTGGAGGTGCTCTGGGGACTGCAGACCAGGAGTTGGCAACTGGTTTTCACGCTCTGTTTGCTCAGTGTCCCCGTGCATTTATTTGGACTGGGTGTCCATTGAGATGGAGGGTAGGGGACTTGGGTTCGCTCACCCTCTGACCAGACTCTGCCACTCACTTTCCAACCCCCCCAGGTGAGGGCCTGGGCTTCCTGTCCATGTCACAGCTGGGGGAGAAGAGCCAGGTTGAGGCCTGAGTTGCCTTCCTCTGCAGACCCCAAGTCTGCCTTGTCAGCTTCTGCCAAATTTCTCCCCCTGCATGTCTCTGGATGGTCCCAAGCTTCTCTATTTAGCTGCCCCCCCCCCTCTAGCTTTTTCATTTTCTTTTCTTTTTGACAGTCTTGCCACCATCCTCCTTCCTCAACCTCCCCGCTGAGTACAGGCATGTGCCACTACACCTGGCTCTTTCAGACAAGGTTTCGCCATGTAGCCCAGGTCAGTCCTGAGCTCCCGTTCCACCTGCCTCAGCCTCCCATCTTCTGTCAGAGGGGTACAGGTGTCCCACATCGTGCCTGGACTTCAAGTTGGACCTGGAATTGAACCTCTACCTCCCACATGGTCCCAAACCCTCACAGCAGCAGCACCACCATGGTTGGACCTCCAATTCTTTTCCAAATGTGGGATGCTTGGGCTTGACCAGACAGCAAATGGAGATGACTGACAAGAACTGGGGTGTCTGGCCTGGACTTACTGTGGAGGGTGCCCCCTGCAGAGATTTTCAGGGCTACCTTGAAGAAGACCACCTGCTGGAGACAGGCAGGAGGGACACTGTCCTGCTGACTGGCCTTTCTGTGACCACCACACCCACATCTTGTTCAGTCTCCAGGCTTCTGGGTGTGAGCAGGAGTGTGTGTGTGTGCATGCGTGCAGATCTCTCAAAATAGACAGTCCTAAGTTGAACCATTGGACGTCAGGCACCATCTAGATACAAAGTCTTTAAATTTTTTACAAGATTCATGGTCACTGCATGGGCTGGGTTTACTACCCAAGAAGATAAGTTCATCAGCTTAGAAGCTGGCTCTGCACCACGTGAAGCTGGTCACGCAGTGCTGGGCCAGCCCCTGGGTCCTCTCAGTGGAAGACAGTGCTCAGGCGTGGCGCCCCCTGTGGGCGAGCAGGGGATGCATTGTTGTGCTTGCAGAAGTCACACAGACTGGGCTCCTAATTTCTGGTTCTACCCCAGCCTCAACCTGTCCTCTTCTGTAGACGGGTGCCAGTGCCACCTGGCTTAAGTGAGGTTTCTTTGCACTTATTAAAAGTGGTGACATCTCACAGCAATAGGGTGTGAGAGCAGTGGATGGATCCCAGACGCTGTAGGATGGAGGTAAAAGAACTAGGGCCTTCCAGAGAAGTGGAGCAGACAGTCCTTTCTGGACACCTTCCAAAACAAAAGTGGTGCTGGGGGACTCAGAGGGTCCCTTCCCTACAAATGCCTGTTTTCTCGCTGTTCGTTCCCTCTGTAGCCTGCTGGGCAGAACTCAGCTGGGAAGGCTGAAAACATGGCCTGAGCATCGGCTCTGCACACAGAGCAGTGTGGCTGCATGCAAGGCCTCTTCTCTGGAAATTTCCCTCCGGGTATGTGAGTGTCCCTTCTCCAGGCCGAGGAGGTTCCTATGCGTGTGTCAGGCTATGTGGGAACTCAGCAGCTCTGGTGACCGAGCCCTGGGCACATGCCGTCCCGGAGCCGGAGCGGAGCGATCAGAGGTAGATGTAGTCCTCACAGCCATTCAAACCGGTCGCTCATGTCCCAGCTGGACGCATGAGGGCACAAGAGGGTGAGTCATTGCCCCGGTGCGCACAGCACGGAACCCCAGCCTGGATCGGACTCCTGAATCCCGAGGCCCAGGAGCTCTCTCCCACCCTACCCTGCCTGATTGGAGTGGTCGGGCACACACGTGCGGGGGCTGAGCCTGGACGGTCCCCTCCGCTTGCCGCCTGGGCGTGGCCAGCAGACGGGGAGCCCGCTGCTCCTGGGGTCTGGAATGGGCGGGATAGGCCCGACCCCGAAGGTCCCCGGCAGGGCGGAGGAGGACTGCCCTCCGAGGCCTCTCTCCCAGCGGTCTGGAAAGAACGCCTGGGCCCCTGCCTCCGGTGGCCCGCTCTCCTCCGGTCCGCAGCGTCCCCGGAGCTGGGCTCGGTTCTCTCCCAGCGGCGACCCCACCTGGCCCTAGGGGGTACCTTCCTAGAGGGCACCGCAGTGGGTGGGGTTTTGTGCCCGAGGAGTTCCCGCTTCTCTGTGACGGATCCGCGCCAGGCGCAGTCGTGCCGCGCACGCGCAGCCTTTCCCCGCGCTGCTCCAGTCAAGTCCCGCTTCTATCCTCGAGGTCGGGAGTTTGAGCGTCCGCTGGGTACTGCGGCTGGACGGTGCTCGGTGCCCGGGACCTCGGGGGTCGTGAGGGCAGCTGGTGTGGGGGAGCACAGCCGGCCTCGGAGCGGCGAAGGCGAGGCCCAGCGGCCTCGGCCTGGGAGAATTTATAGCTGGAGAGAGGTAGGGGGCAATACCCAGACCGTTTGCGTTTCAGGACGCACCTGGGGGACTGCCGAGGAGGCGAGGATGCGGACCTGCTTGGGGAGAAGCCGAATGCATTCACAGGACCGAGACGCCAGGGTCCTCACGCCGCCCCTTCCTCACCGAGAGCTACTTCCCCACCGAGAGCTACTTTCCGCGGGGTCCTCAGTGCCCCCATCCTCTTCGCAATAGGACTTCTCATCTCTGGGGCACATTCCCTCACTTCCTGCAGGTCCTTCATAGGCAACTACTGCTAAGAGTTGGGGCGCCAACTTTAGTCCCCAAACTATTTCTGAACTTCCCATTTCTGGGCTCCCTTACCTGTCGGGTTGCACGGGCTCTTCCAAAGCGGATTCAGTGCAGGTTGACTAGTGTGTATGTGTGTGTGTCCTCCCTCGAGGACAGGGGCAGTGCACTGTGGAGCTCCAAGATCAGGACGCTTCCCACAGTTGGCCTAGCTCGCACCCAAAGGAACGTCAGGCGGCTTGCCTCTTCCTGCTCCTTTGTATGTCCCTATTCGGTCCTTTTTCCCCATCCAATCCTCATCGCTCTCTTGAACCACTGAGTCCCCAGATACATGTGCATGCATGCCCAAAATCCTGAGAAGAATGGAGAAGAATGCCTAGTTCAGTAGCTCCTTGGGTTAAGAAGCCACCCTTCAGGCCCACCAGCCTCCTCGCATGTGCTGGCAGGGCCCTATCTCGCTGAAGCCCTCCTCACAGGTGTTGGTGCATCTGCCCTCACCATTCAGCTGCCCTACTTCCTGAGCTGTGACTGCAGGTACTCACACTTCCTCTTGCCCTTAGAGACCTGGCACACAGCAGGTGTTCAGTGGGAACTGGGTGTTCCTGGATGTGTGAATTAACCACAAGCACTCCTCACTTAATGATCTAGTTACATTCCTAAGACTAGATTGATAAATGACTTGGTGAGTAATCAAGAAGTTTAAAGGCGAACGTCATGTAGTGTGTTCTGGTGCTAGAGGGTGTGTATTTTTGGAGGGAAAGTGAGAAATCACCCCCTGGGGAGATGGCCACTGCTACAATCCCTTTTCCATTCTCCTCTCTGGAATTTGGGCACACACGCACATGCGCCCCATGTGATTTTTCAGGCCAGAGGGTTTGGGACTCCAGGGGTGGAGTCAGCCATGTGTGATCCAGCTCCCTCATCACCAGGCCACCTACTGGGCCAGGGTATGTATTTTTCAATAGCTATCATGAGACACCACACTAGAGTAATGTATTGCAGTTCTATCTATATAAAAAGCATACATTAGTTAAGCTCCAGAAAGAGACAAGACACAGCACAATACTATAAATCTAGTGTAGTTTTAAAAATTTATTTGGAATATTACTATGGGTACATCATAAAGTACAAATTTATAAACAAAGTATGTAGTCGTGCTTGATTCCAAAATCTTCATGTCCTGAATGTTAATTGACTGAAAGGAGACACAGGGTGAGAAAGGGGATTCCCAAGATTCACACAGAATGAGAAAGGAAAGTCCCTGTATTAGAGACCTGGTTGTTAACAGGTAGGTCATTAAGTGAGGACTGGCTGTACCAGATACGATGATTAATGAATTACTGAGTAATAGATGCATATACTACTGGATGGATAATTAGGTCTTCACAAGTCCTCTCCTTAGCATCCTCTTATCTCTCTCCTCAGGTCTAAATCTCCAGTCCCTTGCTTGCCTCCTTCCTCCTTCAGATGTTTCATGTGCTGCTAAACTCAACACTTTTTGGGTTCAGTTTGCAATAGGGCATAAGCATTCACCAGGAGGCAGAGAAAGAGGGGGAAGTGAGAAATCACCCCCATAGTCTTTTTTTCCATTCTCTTCTCCAGATTTTGGGCACATATACACGTCCCTGGCATGTTTTTAAGCCATTGGGTCTGGACTTGAATTGTACAGTAGGCTATCTGGGATCCAGCTAGTTTAACTTCTGTGCTACCTGCTGGTTCCCTAAAACTCAACACTTACTGTCGGACCTGCCGACGGCGAACAGTTCCTGAGTTGGGGGGTGAGAATTAAAGAAAGACAAGAAGACAGGATAGAAATGGGAGGACTGCCAGTCAATACTGGTCAGCACCGAATGTACTTTATTGCTAGTGTTTATACACACTCCAGAGACTTCCGTGATATAAAGTTTTAAGTCCTTACTGAATTTATCAGGTTGTTATAACAATACTTTGGAACATTCAGTTCAAAACAATCCCAAGACATTCTGCTCATAACAATCCAGCCACCCAAGGCCATGTCTGGAGAAAGACCCTGGTCCTATTCTGGTGGTCACGTCCTGCATATTCCTCATGTCTCCTCTTTGGCTCCCCACAACTTACAAGCACTTGAGCTCCTAAACTACCACTCGATTGTCCATTCTTGTCCCTTCTACTTCCTGAATATCTTTATGACTCATTTCTTTCTATCCTCTGAAACACAAATGACAAGCTCTAGCATTCTAGGCCCTGCTAGAACCATCTTTTCTGTTACTTTCCCTGGGCTCTCTCCCATGGTGATTAAGCTCCAACGAAGATCAGTAACCCTACAACCACTAAGTTCCTTGAAACCTTTCCAAGGTCTCCAAAAGTGCCCTTTTCTCTGCTGGAGGCACTCCTCTTTCCCATGTCTGTGTAATGGTCTTTGAATGTTTGCTCTTGTACAGCTATGCAGCTACTTAAATTTTTTTCTCTCATAGGGTATGTATGCCAGAGAGGTAGAGAGGGAAAGTGAGAAATTGCCCTCCAGAGGGGATGGCCATGCCTCAATCCCTTCTCTTCCATACTCCTCTCAGGTCTTGGGCTCATACATATATGTGCCTGGAGTGATTTTCAAGCCACTGGGCCTGGGACTTGAATGGCAGCCAGCCAAGTTGGAGTCCAGCTGCCTTAGCCATCACACCACCTATTGGCCCAGCTATTTAAAATTTCTCATCATAAACCTAAGTAGTTGCAAAATTTCAGATGTTTTGATTTTTTTTTAAGGCAAATTTTTGCTATAGAATGCATATATTCGCCAGAGAGAGAAACAGAGAGATAGAAAGCAAGAAATCACCCCCTAGAGGGGATGGCCATGCCACAGTCCCTTCTCCTCCATTCTTTTCTCGAGATTTTGGGCATGCATGCACATGCGCCTGGTGTGAGTTTTAAGCCACCAGGTTCAGGATCTGAGCTGTGGCTGACTATGTAGGAATTCTGTGACATAATCATTACTCCATCTGCTGGTCCCTGTTTTGATATTTTAAAGTAAAATGATTACACAACTCTTAATACTATATAGCCAGTGGACTCTGAACATACTATTTTCTTTCCTTTTTTTTTTTTTTTTTTTGAGATTTTTGTTATAGGGCATGTTTGCTCCCTGAAGAGACAGAAAGAGAAATAACTCCCAGGGAGAATGGCCATGCTACAATCCCTTCTCCATTCTCCTCTTGGGATTTTGGGTATGCATGTACATGTGCCCAGTGTGAGTTTTAAGCCATCAGGTCCGGGACTCGAACTGTGGTTGACTATGTGGTCAATGTGGGAATCCAGCGACATAACCATTATGCCATCTGCTAGTCCCCATACTATTTTGATTCTTATCATAAATCCACTTGAGGATTTGTCAACAACTCTCATTTAACATGTTTATTCCACAGGGACTTTTAAAAAATTTTCACTGTTGTCATAATCTGATTATTTTATCTTTCATCCACGGAACTTAATGTAATATATTTGTATTCTTTTATTGCCCACCCCTCCTAGCCTTGAAACGGCCCTCCCCCTTTTTTTGTCTTTAGCACAGCATATGTCACCCACAGGTAATTCTCACAACTACCTTGCAAGGGCAGACTCTTCACCGCAATTTTAGTGTGAGGGAATGAGGTGCAGAGACGTTAACCAATGTGCCAGCATCACACAGCTGGAAGTGGCTGCCTGGTCCCAGAACCAGCTGGTAATGAGTCCTTACGTAAAACTGCATGTGCTTTATTTATAATGGGACTTAAAAACAGAAATAATGAGATACAACTCATTGACCTTATAATTTGCCCATTTGAAAAATTGGGCACACAAGTGTATATAGATATCTGGCAGACATTCTTGAAATGAGAGCTGCTGATTTGAGATAAGAAACCCTTTTCCTGAATTATGGGGAATAAGTGGCTATTTCATTGATTTTTAGTTATTTTTATTTTTTTAAATTTGCAAGAGGGTATGTGTACTCACTGGAGAGAGACAGAGAGGGAGGGGAAAACACAACTTGTGTGGAATGGTCATGTTGTAATTCATTCTCCGTCTCCATCCCATTGGGATTTTGGGCATGTACACATATGTGCCTGGAGTGTTTCCCAAGCTGCTGGGGCCAGGATATTTGAACTGTGTGGTAGGCCATGTGTATTCCAGCTTCATCAACCACCAGGCCACAGGGCTGGCCCTGTTTTTAGTATTTTCACAAAGTTTGTACATATTACCTGAAAATGTGTTTTTCTTTAGTGTTTGCGTGTGTGAATTTTATGCAGATGCTAATATTTATTCTGTCAATTTCTGGAGTCCCAGTTATTAAAAAGTTGGCATCACTGTTCATGTACCATATATGCTGTTTTTTTTTTTTTTTGAGAGGTTTTCACTATAGGGGGCATGTGGTTGCCAGACAGACAGAGAGAGACACAGAGACAGAAAGCAAGAAATCACCCCCCAGGGGGGATGGTCACGCTGCAATCCCTTCTCCTCCATTCTCCTCTCAGGATCTTGGGCACGCACACACACCCGGCATGAGTTTTAAGACACTGGGTCCGGGACGTGAACCGCGGTGGACTACGTGGGAGTGCAGCAACATAGCCATTACGCTAACTGCTGGTTCCCATATATGCTGTTTTTCTTCTTGAATGTGTTATGCTTTGATTTTATAACTTTGAAAAGTTTTTATTCTAATATAATTACTTGGTATGTATTAGTATTTATTGATTCAATATATATCCTGAGTCTCACTACAGTTTCAGAATAGATCAGGCTCTGGGGGTTCCAAAGAGGGTAATACTAAGTTCCTGCCTGAAATGGCTGACATCATCGTGGGGGCAACAAGTTGGAAAAGCAAACAGCTGATTTCATATTTCAAGTATTCGAGTATGGCTGTAGAGAGTGAGTAGGGGAGAGGCAGTCTTCTTGGGTTTGGTTCAGAGTTCATCAATGACAGAAACAGGTTTGTAAGCCACAGTCATAAATGTCACTCTGCTATTTTTTCCAGTTAAACTGAGTCAGTGAAGTTAAATGCATACTTAGATTTTAGATTAGGCCATAATTCATGAAAAGGGTTTCTTATTGCGAATCAGCAGCTCTTATTTCAAGAATGTCTGCCAAATATCTGTATTTACATCTTCATAAAAATAAGTTAGTTATAATGAGATTAAATCAGATAAGAACCACCAGCTGGCCCCTCTCCTTTTTTTTCTTCTGAGAGATTTTTGTTATAGGGTACGTGAGCTCACTGGAGAGACAGAGATAGAAAGACCCATTATTGATTTTTAATTCTGCTCTGGTGAGAAAACATACCTTGTAGTTTTCATTCTTTTAAATTTTTCAAGCCCTTGTTTTATAGCCCACAATATATATACTTGAAAAGAACGTGTATTATGTTATTGAGTGTTCTACAAATGTTAAGTAAGTTGACAATGCTACTCAAGTGTTAAATATCCTGTTTTTTGTCTACTACGCTATTAAAAGTATTGAAATATCTAACTATCAGGTGGTGTGGTGGTTAAAGTGGCTGGATCCCATATGACCGACTGTGTGGTTTGAGGCCTGGACCAGGCAGCTTGAAAAACATGTGCATGCACTTGTGTGGCCAAAATCTGAGAAAAGGGATTATGCCATGGCCTTCTCCTGAGTGACTTCTCACTTTCCCTCTGTATATTTCTGGCAAGCACACATGCCCTATTATCAAAAAACTTCAAAAAATAACCCCCCCCCAATTGAAAAAAATATCTCCATTCCAATTGTGTTTTTATTTCATGAATTTAAAATCTCTGCTATATGGGTATTGGAGCTAGAAAGATAACTGCTTTACTGTTGAATTTCCAACTGTGAGAATGTAAAGGTCCCTCCCTTGGTCTCAGCTAACTTCTGCTGAGATTGTGCTGTCTTGGAGGGTAAATCCTTGGTTGGCTGTGCCCAGGGCTTGGCGAGGTGGGTACATGTGTACATAGGAGTGTTCCATGTAGAACTGGGCATCAGTTAGATTGCTTTCTCTTCATGTCTCACTCATGTCCTCCATAGTATTAAGCATTTCAGAGCCTGAAGCCAGTTTCCTTATCCCCATGTGCCTGTTTCTGCTGATAGAATAGCTATCCTTCCATTTTTCTAATTTGTGTTGAGATCTCATTTGCTGATCGTCTTTTACTTTTTTTTTCTTGCTGTGGTTTTATACATTAAAAAAAGAATCCTAGTGATTTAATGCTGCCCAGGGACTTCAGACATATTTAAGAAAAGCACATTTTCTAGTACTTTCCCTGCTAGCCACTGTCAGTGTACCAAGCCCCAGTCTGAGCTCTGCAGCCTGTTGATCAGCTGCAGTATGCTTCCAGTGTATGAGTTCGCCCAGTTCTGTCTTTAGAACCTACATGTTGATATCATCTGCTCTCAGGTACTATTCTTCAATGCCAGCTTTACTCTGGCAACCACTTTGGGCATATTGCTTTAGACTTTCTCTTGCTTTCACTCTAAAAGGACCCTAATAAACTAGGTGCACTCAGGATAAAGAACTATTTAGTTCCTGAGGAGGTGCCTGGGGAGGAAAGTGTTTTCAACTTCCTGTTAAAAGTTTGTGGGGGTGTGTAGCATAAATAATCCTCCACCTTGTTGGATGGCCATAAACTGTTGTACATTTTTTAAAAAACAAAAGACTTCCATTTCCAACCACCCTCTCAGCCTAAAACAGTAAATACTGCACAATTATAGTTTAGAGGCTACTCAGGACTGGAAGATAATATGAAAAACACAGGCACACAATTTGAGGAGAAATAGTTCCATTTTCTCAGAGAACATGAATAAAGGAAAACATCTTGCTTGGATAAATATAAAGTTCTTACAGTTAAAAATACTTGGGTTGATGGTGGCACAGCAGTAATACAACACTATGTGATGCTGGACCCACATGAGACTGTCCCAGGTTCACGTGCAGAGATCTCCCTGTGTAGACTTGGTGTGTGCATGCGTGCCTGTAACTCTGGCTGGCTAAGGCTGGGGGGGGACTGCAGCATGGCGACCCTGTTGATGCCAATATCTCTATCCTAGAAGAAATAAACTTAAAAAAAAAATACTGGGTTGGATATGTACTTCTAATAATACCAGCTGAATTGCAAATTGCACACATTTTCATCTCCCCACTCCCTTCCCTAGGGATCAAAACAATTCATCAGTGTAACAGTGCTTGGTTTTTAAATACTTTAAATGATTCTTTTTCAGTGAAAGAACATATGGGAATAACTCTGTCTCTCTCCTTTATAGAATATAAAGGTAAGAGTGATATTAAAAATATTTAACAGTGTTTACAGTATGAGGACTCTGAAGACCTGAGTGAGCTCATGTCACTCAGTGGGGCTCTTTCCTGTGAACTCGCTGGTGGATGTGAAGGTTGGAGCTCTGGCTAAAGCCCTTTCCACACTTGCTGCACTCATAGGGCTTCTCTCCTGTGTGTACTCTCTGGTGGATGAGGAGTTTGGAACTCTGGCTAAATCCCTTCCCACACTTGCCACAGTGATAGGGCTTCTCTCCAGTGTGGACTCTGAGATGGATACGAAGATCTGAGCTTTGGCTGAAGCCCTTTCCACACTCATAGCATTGGTAAGGCTTCTCTCCTGTGTGGATACACCGGTGAATGTGAAGGTTTGAGCTCTGACTGAAGCCCTTACCGCACTCCCCGCACTTGTAGGGCCTCTCTCCTGTGTGGACTCGCTGGTGGATATGCAGATTTGAACGCTGACTGAAGCTCATACCACATTCCCCACACTCATAGGGCTTCTCCCCTGTGTGGACTCGCTGGTGGATATGTAGCTTGGAACTTTGACTAAAGCCTTTCCCACACTTGTCACATTTATAAGGCTTCTCGCCTGTATGGACTGCATGATGAATGAGCAGGCTTGAGCTCCTGGTGAAGCCTTTCCCACACTTGTCACACTTATAAGGTTTCTCATCTGTGTGGACTGCTTGATGGATGAGCAGACTTGAGCTCCGTGAGAAGCTCTTCCCACATTGTTCACATCTGTAGGGTTTTTCTTCTGTGTGGTCTCTCTGATGTAGTAGTAGTTCTGAACTCTGACTGAAGTGTTTACTACACTGATTACATTTGTGTAGTTTCTCTGTAGTATGTTTTTTCTCATATGGAAGGACATCTGGGCTGGTGTTGAGTATTCTTCCACAGTCATTACAGTTACAGGGTTTTCCCTCTGTATGAGCTCTTTGATCACTACAACTGACCATTTGTGATTTGCACTCATAAATGTCTTTGCAGTTACAGTCAAAGAGATCTAAAGATTCTTTTGAGTGGCCATTCTGGCAAGTTGCCTCACCACTGAATAAGGGCAGGACCAGTTCTGTTACATTCGATACAGGTTTAACTTGAAGGTTCTCTGAACAATGGGGAGGGCTTTGCCCTCTTACCACTTTTTTCTCAGTGTTTTCTTCACTTACAGAGAGATACTTGCTTTCCTGAGGATCTTCATGCTCACTCTTACAGAACTTCACTGACCGGTCTTGTGTGGCCATTTGGTTTGAGACTTTTAAAGGCAAATATTTTACACATTCAATGTTTTTAAAATCATCACTGTGAAGAGTTACCACATTGTTCTTGTTCCTGGGAATATTAGGAGATGCTTTTTTCCACTTTTGACAAGGGGAAAGATTTAGTGTAGAGTCCCCATATACTTCTCTCCTTGCAGATTCACAAAATAATCCAGACTCTATGATTGTTCTGGTAATCTCTTCCAAAATTAGCCAGCAGGAAGGCTCATGTAACCCGAAGTCCTTTCTCTTGAAAGTCCTGCACAGAATTTTCATTCAAGCCTCCTAGGAAACAAAGAGAACCCCGTGATAAGAATAAAGTGTAGATATCAATATTTCAGAAAAAGAGTGTGTAAGGCCTGAGGAGCTAGGAAAAAGTTCAGCTGGTCCTTATAGTCATGCCCTTTGGGTTAATGGCAGAAAGGAAGAAGACTTAGTCCAGAATACAGAAAATTTTTTAAGTATAGCCAAGAAAATATTCCTTCACTAATCCTGCAGAAGGTTATGAGTCTTATATCTTTGCCACAAATAATATTTCATTTCACTCCATTTTAATTAAAATTTGCATTTAATTGGTACCCCACTTTCACAGGAATTGGGGATACAAGGAAGAAAACACAAATCATTTTGCTTAATAAACTAAAGCCTCCTGGGAAGATGACTAATTTATCAACAATGATATAATTAAAAAAGTTTATAGAACAACTGGATTAAAGGATGAGTTTACTTTTGTGGAAAAAATTTTTGAAATCCATACACAGGTTTTTCATAATATGCACTTTCCAACTTTTTGAGGACCCCATGTACAACACAATATATGCAGAACTAGTCATGAGAGCATAGAGTAGGAGTACTCAACTCAAACATTGGGATTTTGGAAGATTTCAGGGAAAAAGTGACAGGGACAAAAATGAACTATGAGTAGAAAGTATGACATGTTCAAGAAAACTACAAACGGTTCTTATAAAGATAACAAAAAAGGTCACAATGGTAAAGAATGTGATAAGAAGGTAGAAGCCAAAGCAAAGGACTTGGTGTCTGACAGGAAGCACTTAGGGGTAAGCCTTGCAGGGGTTGAAAACTATCAAAGGATATAAATTAAGAGTGACTGATTGTGAGATCATAAACACCAATGGAAATCAAGGCTTAACATATAGAGCAGCTGCTATAGCAAATCAGAAGAAAATCACTAACAATGTAGCTGTTGAGAGAAAGGGAAAGGTTCATTCTAAATCACCAGATGACAAACTAAACCTGAAAGCAAAGGGAAGGAGGTATTGAGCATGCTCCCTGGGCTTCCTGCCTGAATGAGTAGGTATGATGGTACACATTACAATAAGAGAAAAAGCAGAAACGGGAAGGGGAAGGATGACAAACTCAAAATCTGACAATTTGTACTGCTGGTGAAACATTCTTGCAGCACTGTTCATGAGACAGTGAGACACAGATCTGGAACTCCCAAGAGAAAACTGTTCCAGGAATACAGAGCAATTAAGAAACAAAGACTTCAATGGGCAGGTGTCCAGGTTCATAAGTTCTTATCCACTGAAACCAAGTTCCTGTAGTATTCTAGCATCTAAGCTCTATAAAGCTCCCTGTGATCAGAGTCCAGGCAACCCCACTGCTCTTTGTGAAGTTTATAGGGACAACCTTGAATGTCACTGGTTCATACAACAGTAACACATTCCCCTTCAACTAACTCCCATTTGCACAAATGCTCTGGAAAGAAAGTGAATTTGGTAACCCTGTGTTCCGACCCACAGGACAGTCGAACAGGTTTCCTGAGGGAAGGAGAGACAGGACAAGCAGCGCGGAGATGATGCAGTGTTACAACTCTTCAGGGTCATCCATTTATTGTGGGCCAGGGATCGTGGTTATATACATGTTGGTGGGCGGTGATTGGTTGTTAAAAGGTGGGCTATGATTGGTTGTTTTTGTGGACCAATCATGAGGGACCGGATATGCAAATCTGAGGGATTCTAGTGGCCAATCAGAGTATGGTTTTGAAGGTGAGGTTTTGAAGGGGAGCCAATCATGGCCTTTGTCATTGTGTAATTGTTTGCTCTTTGAGAAACCAAAACCTAAGGGCTTCCTAAGATAGTAAGAGACTCATGAAAATGGCCTCGGCAGACTCGCTGGTGCGCAGCCTCCCACAACCCTGGAAAAGGTAGAGTACAGAAGAAGTTTGCAGTTCAGGGAACCCAAGAACATGTACCCAGCATGTTTTTCTTTTTTTCTAAAATCAGAACTTCTGCTTTTCTTCCTTAACTGATAGGGTGGGGTGTGGCAATTTCTGGGTGAGTTTCAGCTTTTCTTTTTTTTTTTTTTGGAGAGGTTTTTGCTATAGGGCATGTGCGCTCGCCAGACAGACAGAGACAGACAGAGAGATAGAAAGTGAGAAATCACCCCCCAGGGGGGATGGCCACGCCACAATCCCTTCTCCATTCTCCTCTTGGGATCTTGGACATGCATGCACACGCACCCAGCGTGAGTTTAAGCCACCGGGTCCGGGACTTGAACTGCGGTCGACTACGTGGGAGTCCAGTGACATAGCCATTACGTTAACTGCTGGTCTCCCCAGCATGTTTTTCAATCCAACAGGTCTGGGCCTCAAACACGGAACTGGCCATGTAGGATCCAGCACCTTAACCATTATGCCACCTGATGGTCCTTCCACCTCCCCTTTTTAGTATACATGTGGCCTAAGTGAGTACTTTCCAGCCCTAACATTTCCCTTAAATTCAACTCCAACTTTCCACCTAACAACTATATTGGGATTTCTTTTTTTCTTTCTTTGAGAGTTTTTTGCTTTAGGGTGCATGTACTCGCAGAGGAGAGAAAGAGAGTAAGAGGGAAAGTGAGAAATCATCCCCGGGGGGGGATGGCCATGCCACAATCCCTTCTCCTCTATCCTGCTCCCAGGATCTTGGGCATGCATGCTTATGTGCCCATCATGACTTTCAAATCACCAGGTCTGGGACTCAAACCATGGTTGGCCACATGGGAGGCCAGTGACATAACTTCTATGCCATCTGTTGGTCCCCTACCCTGGGATTTCTAAAAGGCACTGAAAACTTGGTCCTAGTAGGGGTCAGCAGATGGCGTAATGGCTACATTGTTGGACTCCCATGTAGTAGACCACAGTTTGAGTCCCAGATCTGGTGGCTGAAACTCATGCTAGTTTCACATGTGTATGTGCCTTCGTGCGTGCCCAAGCTCCCGAAAGAAAAATGGAGGAGAAGGGGTCTGTTTCTGTCTTTCTGGTGAGTGCACATGCTCTGTGGCACCCCCCCCCCCAAACAAATCAAAACAAAATAACAAAAAAAAACTTGGTCCTAGTAGGAATTTTGTTCCTGGGACCAACAGGTGGTGTAATGGTTATGTTGCTGGACTTTCATATGTACTACTATGGTTTGAGTCCCAGATCTGGCAGCTTGAAATTCATGGTGGGAGCATGTGTATGCATGCCCCAAATCTTGAGAGAATGGAGGAGAAAGGATTACAATGTGGCCATCTCACCTGGGTAGGGAGATGATTTCTCACTTTCTGTCTGTCTTGCTGGCGAGCTCACATACCCTATAGCAAAAATCTCTAAAGAAGAAATCTTGCCCCTAATAGTTGGCATCAATATCTGATTTTCCCCAAAGTCTAAATAAGAACTTAGTACAAATATTCATTCAGTTAACTTCGATGAGTCTGGTTCCCTCCAAGTTTCTGTCTGAGGAAGCAACACTTTTCTAATGACCTGTGGTGAAGTGCTAGTTTTTGTTTTGTGTGTGTGCATGTGTTTTTTGTGTGTGTTTAGTTTGCTATAGTATATGTGAGCTAGCTAAAGACAGAGCGAGAAAACACCATTCATGGCAGGTGGGAGATGGCCAAGCTGTAATCCCTTCTCTTTCATTTTCCTCTTGGGATTGTGGATATGCATGCACACATGCCTGGCATAATTTTCAAGCCACTGGGTCCAGGACTCAAACGGCAAAGTCTGCCATGTGAGATTCAACTGCCTGAACCACCACCACCTGGCTGCCTCAAAGTTGTGTTCTTTTTTATTATGAGAGGTTTTTGCTATAGGGCGTGTGCGCTCTCCAGAAAGACACAGAGACAGAAAGAGAGAAATCACCCCCCAGGGGGGATGGCCATGCTGCAATCCCTTCTCGTCCATTCTTCTCTGAGGATCTTGGGTACGCACGCACACATGCCCAGTGTGAGTTTAAGCCACCGGGTCCGGAACTCGAACCATGGCCAACTACATGGTAGTCCAGCGACATGGCCATTACGCCAACTGCTGGTCTCAAGTTGTATTTTTTTTTCAAACAAACACTTTCAATTTCTGTATTTTTGTCTGCATGGTTCATGGCTGGCACCAGCTCATAAGTCATACTTTGAAAAGCAGAGTGACGGAATATATAAAAAAGAATAAAAGCCAAATGAAGGCCAAAGTTCAATTACAGAAGTACCCAGTAACCTTCATAAGGTAAACTGAAACCAAACAGACACCTCTTACTCCATCCTCAGGATTCTGCCCTGTAAGAATGACTTAATCAACTAGTCATCAGTAAAGAAGGAAAGATGAGGCAAATGGCAGCTTTATCCTAAGCTTTTTTTCAAGATCACTGCTCTCTATCATTGGAGGAATAAGGATGAAAGATTAGGCAAGAAAGGCCCACAAGCCTCCAAGCAAAGGTAGGACAAGATGGCACAGGGATAAGTGCTGTGCATAGTAAGCTGCACATGTGGTTGACCATGGTTAGAATCCTGGTTCTGGACTCTATGTGACTGACCATGGTTGGAATCCTTGTTCGAGAAGTTTGAGAAACACAAAGGGTCAATGTGCGTGCTCAAATCCTGATGGGATAAGAAATGGGAAAAAAAGGATTGTGGTATGACCATGCCCTCCTACTGGGACCATGCTCTCTCTCTCTCTGGAGAATATACGTGCCCACTGGCAATTAAAAAAAAAAAGAGGCAAGACAAAGAAGTAGAAGCAGAGTTTGCTGCCTTAGAGCTCCATTACTACACGCTCTAGCCCAGAATGATGAATGACTATCAGGCAAGCAAATTGCTGCTCCTCTCAGTCAGATCTTTTCTTCTCAAGAAAAAAGATTTCTAGGACAAGCAGTTAGTGTAATGGCTATGTCACTGGACTCCCATGTAGTCGACCGCAGTTTGAGTCCCGGACCCGTTGGCTTAAAACTCACACTGGGTGCATGTGCGTGCATGCCCAGGATCCTGAGAGGAGAATGGAGGAGAAGGGATTGCAGTGTGGCCATCCCCCCGGGGGG